CAGCAAGTTGCTGCATTTATCCATGCAGACATGGTCATGACCACCTGCTGAAGTTCAAACTGAGCATTAAAATAAAGGGGGGAAAAAAAGTGACGTAAACACCACAGCGTCCATGCTTTTGTGATCACAGTGTACTCCTCTTCGGATGGATGCTCCCAGCAGGATAACACACCATGACACAAAGCTCAGATTATCTCAAACCTGATATTATCTTGAACATGACAGTGAGTTCACTGTACTCAAATGGCCTCTGCAGTCACCAGCACTAGCAAGGTGTACTTAAGAAGTGGCCGGTGACTGTAGTTTAAGCTGCCCTATTGAGCCGATTCCCTCTGAGGGACGACAGTGTAAACTAAACTGAAAGTAGGATTTGTCTTCTTTTTTTTATTTTTTACTTACAAATTTAGGAAGACTCCACACCTGAATAAGTGACAGGTGCATAGTGGGAAAGGTCTTTGTGAAGAAAAAAAAACACATTTTCTGGCTTACAGGTACTGAGAAAACTGTACCTGACGAAGGTCGCGTAGACCGGACCATTAAAAATAATGGTAAGCGGGAAGGTCTGTGAAGGTTATACTTTTTTATTTCCACCTTAAAATTGTGATTTAGTATTTTTGTCTACATGAACACACTGGTGTTATTTTTATGGCTGAGGTGGGTAAACTGAATATTCTGGCTGTACCCGCCTCTGTTCTTCTGGAATGAGGGTCATTTCACTGGTCTTAGTGGAAAAGGCCTGGCTCCCAGTTTGTGTCCCGTAAATGCTGGACAGATTTCAGGTCAGGGTACTTTGTGGTCAAATAACAAAAGCCATCACTTAGCTGTCTTATATTTAGAGGCACACTGTCATCTAACATGTCACTGTATGGTAGTTTTGTTTGGTTGGGGTTTTTGTAAGTACCAGGACATGTCCAACTATTCCGTTATTCAAATTAGGGTTAAGATTTAACACCTCGATGTCAATCTTCCGTTTGTTTTTGAACGCCTCTATGTAGTATCCTTTATTTTATTTTAGAGATGGCATGCTTGAAGCTGCCATCTCTAAGCCTCGAAGGAGGAAGATCTGTGTAACTGTGAACAGTAACAGCCCAAAACACTATTATGTTTACTTTGTTATAAATTAGTATACTGTGTACACTCACAAAAAATAATAAACAAGTTTTTAAAAAGTGATTAAAAATAATAGCATTAAAAAAATCCTCAAATTGCTGACAGTGGTAATGTTTTCTAATACTGCCACCAGAAAGACAAGCATAGTCTTTTGATGTGTTCTTTAGGCTGATTTTAAACACCTAAAGTCACCAGTACGGCTAAAATATCACGATCGCCTCTTAGGATTTTTGATCCCAAGTGCCTAACTTTGCAGCACCAGTTCTGGGAAGGACATTCCAGCTTTTCACACCTCTGCAAAGCACTGGCCAAAAGCACTGACATTATTCTTCAACATCAAGCATTTGTCATCTCATTGAGAGTTCTTGATTAGAAAATCAATTAGACTGAACACCGAGTGAGAATTTGATTCCAATAATACCGTCCTATTTGATTTCGGATGTTTGTTTGTTTTTCCCATCAACTTTACCGTCATTTGCTGTTCTCGCTTGAACATGTGGACTCTCCTGCCCTTCGTGCAGATGCAGAATCGTATGGTGGTCCTGCTGTGTAACGAGAGGCCAGTGGAGACGAGAGGAATTGTGAACCAGGCCATGCTCATGTGTGCCTCGTCACAAGACAAGCTGGAAATCCTTGATCCTCCAAATGGAGCGATACCAGGGGATAGAGTGACTTTCCAGGGATTCCCAGGTACTACAGCCTCACTGCTGTAGCTTCCTGCTAAACCTATTCTCAGCCAAATCGTCACAATAGATGTGCGCTCAGAAGATAGTGCTGATCACACGCCTCATTATTTTCCTCTTTTCATCAGTGTTATGGAGCCTCAGTATTTAGACTGTGAGTACTGCACTACTTTAACACGACACACAAACACAAGTTTCCTCCAACTCTGCGAGGCACCTTTGGTGAGAATCGGACTGCAGGCTGAGAGCAGACATCATTCCCAAACTTCACCGTTGGCTCTTCTGAGCTTTTGTGGTTGGATACATGCAAATCCCTGTAGCCACTTTCCATGAGGATGCTGTTAACAGCAAACCTCCTGGAATCACAAACCCTGCAAGTGTCGAGGTTTACTGAAGTACACAGGGGATTCTAATTTCTCACAATGATGTCTTTGTTGCAGGGGAGCCCGATAAAGAGCTGAACCCCAAACAGAAGGTGTGGGAGCAGCTTCAGCCAGACCTGCGCACAGACGGCCAGTGCGTCGCAACCTACAAAGGAGCTGCCTTTGAAGTAGCTGGAAAGGGAGTTTGCAAAGCCCAAACCATGTCTGACTGTGAGATTAAGTAAATGATCAGTTCTCTGCAGCCTTGCGGGATCCAAGAAATTGCGGAAAAGGATTCCCAGAATAGTGGAGACTGTTATTTTAACGCCCACTGTCTGGGGGGACATGTCCAAAAAACAAAATCACACAGGTGTGATGCTGAGTGGTCACGTAGTTTTTGCTATAAAGCAAGTGAAATAATTGCGAGGTACCCGATGTTGGATGGACTTGAGATTTACTTAAATTACTTTTTTCTTTTTTTTAACAGGAAAAAAAAATGTAGTTTTGAATTTGGCCAACTGAGGGCACTAGCATACCCCATCACAATGTGCAATATGTGTCTTGGTGGTTTGTTCACATGAGAGCATTCACCACACAGGCTGCCTCAGCGTAGTGAAAAGAAAAGGGGAAAATCCTTTTTTTTTTTTCTTTTTTATTCTGGGAACTCTTTGTTAAAATGTTGTTTTCCGTTAAGACATTTAAAGTGTTTTCATGTTCATTTAACAAGGTATGAAACTGTTCAGAAGTCCCGTTTGAGAAACGGGAGATTGACTGATCTTGTTGGGGTTTTTTTTTTTTTTTTTGGGGGGGGGTTTTCATTGATGAGTGAGAATGAACTGAAAATCAATCCATCATGAAACAGACTTTCCACTGACTCCTACATGTTGTTTAGCAATCAACAAAGTGTGATTTTTGCTTCTGTTAATCCAGGAAGTGTTATCTTAAATGGAAAAAAATCCATCTTTGGTTTTTCGGTGGCTTCCTGAAATATCAAACAAATGCTTCAAAGTCTTTTGATTTGAATGTAAAAGTGTTTTAAACTGTCTTCAAGTTTTGTATGCTGTTTGCTTTGCTCTTGTGTTTCCCTGGTGGATTGTTGTCCATAAGAGCAGCTCTGGCTGTGAGCGGAGAAGCCCCGCCCACCCTGCTGATCGGATGTTTTGTTTGCAAGGGTCAGCCAATCGGAAGACACCTGGCTTAAAGGGAGGGGAAGGGGTTGAAAGGGAAAAAATGTTTTTGAACTCCGCCATGCTTCAGATCGTGACTTGGTCTTAGTTTTGAAACAGTGCGCCAAGCTGTTGAGGAGCTGCTAAAAAAAGTGAAAGACAAACACGCAAAGTATTTCTTCCTTTATTATAAAGGAGAACTTAAAACTATGGGCCGAGAATGGGGATGTGATTGATGTGATTCAGGAACCAAGAAGTGGAACAAAATGTCCAAGACGCCATGTCCCAGGTCTTTGTTTGACAGTGCAGAGCACAAAGGGAATGGTGTGATTCTCTAGAAACAAAAAAGAAAATGTTACTCACTACTTCAGCACAACATGACAAAGAACCAATGTTTATAATGCGGTCAACAGCATGGAGGTGCAGTGTTGACTAATGCTAGAGAATGACATTAATAAAAACCATTTTAATATCTGAAAAGGTTATGGAGTGTTATGAATGTCACGTCACCCCCACCCACCTCCACCTACAGTGCAATCTCTTCATGGACTAACCCACGGGGTAACCCAGAGTGGAGGTACTGTACAGGTTCATGACTGAGATGACACGGTCCTGCAACCACACAGCCCGTCGACGCGACGCGGTTTGCTGGAGGGGAAAGTTAGCAAACGCGTACCTGAAACCAGGTTTCCCCGAGCTGAGTGAACCTGCGAGTAAAATACATTTCCACTGCCTTCGGTGGCCTGCTTTTTGAGGCCACAAACTGCACTGAGAACAACAAACCCTTACTTTACAGAAGAGTCAGTCTCACAGTGTTTGGGGTTATTCTTATTCTCACCATTGTTGCTCTTTTACATTATTGTGTTCCATTTCCAGTCATAAATATTGGGAAATTTGCTAAAGATTGGATGAACAGGCAAAGTTGGCAATTGTCCTAAAAGCATAAGCTGCTTTAGGAAGGGACTCTGAAAGCCTGCAGCTTATTGGCCAAGGTAAAAACGCTTAGGCAACTCATGAACTTTTAATTAATGTTGTGGTCCTGATTAAAAAGAAGAAACCGCTTGATAAATGCAATCAAATTATTTTAATTAACACAATTAAGAAGCTTAAAGTTTCGAAAGATCACCAGAAAGCTTTCTTTTCTTTTCGTTGCAGTTTTAAATCGGCAGTCAGGTTCAGGAAAAAATAAGTTTGCTCAGTTCAAGCGGGTAAACCACATCTTAGAGAGACTGTCAGAAAATGAGCTCAAACTTGCACGTAGACCGGGTTTGTTCTCAGAAACTTATGTAAACCCAGCGTGGTGACTGAACTGATTTATGCTCTATTAAAATGGATTTTTATACCACAAAGCCGGATTTGTTGTGCTGTGTTCGATTGGCAAACTGTCAACTCCATGAACCAGATGCACGTCTGATAAATAAATACATGGGGACGGGGGATAAGGTCTAATGTTGTCATGCAGGTTCTCTCTGAATAGCTGGATTGTTCCTTCTGCTTGTGTTGATTTGGATATTTAACCATTTATCAAATAACAAAACTCTATTTTTTGTTTTATTTTTTGTTCGGGGTTTTCTTCAGGTTACATTAAAGTAAAACTACAATAAACAATGTGAGTTTGTAGAAACAATAACACGCTCTCTCGGTATTTCCGTGTGCGTCTCCACCTCCTCCCGCTGACGTCGCGCGCTCCGTGACGTGCTTTATTTTGCGTGCGGCAGCAGCTTCAGCTGACACGGAGAGGAGGACCGCGGCGTTATTGTTGTTTCATTTGTACAAGTGTCGCCTGACCTCAGCACGCGGACGTGGACTTCGCGGCCGAAAGGACCATATCGACCGTTCCGTGGTGACTGTGTCGTGCGTTTCTCTGCAAGCAAGCACTGCACGTCTGAATCGCACCTGCCGCGGAGCATGGTCAACAAAGACTGATCAGCACTGCGCCTGTGTGCGCCCACAAACAGAGCCGAAGCTGCACACAATTCCTCAAAGACATCTGTTTGTTTAAAAGACCTCCGTGGGCTCAGGAGGCTGCTGCTGCAGGAGAAGGTTTGCGTGCACGAAATGTGAAGTGCCTGCCAGGTTTAATTATAACACGCTTGCTTGCGCTTCTTTTTGCTCGGATATCCAATACTAGATCCTGCAGCTGCTCGAGAGACGATCAGGCCTTCATCGATCCTTTAGTGATCTAAAAATAATAACACAATCTAAACACAATCACACGTCCCGGTAAGACCAGTTTGACGGTCACCGTCAGCAGTCCCGGGGGTTCGATGTCCCCATAAAATAATAAATAATAATAATAAAAATAATAAACACAGCAGCATGTGGGTCACTCCCGAAGATGTGTTACTTGCTGGCGCGTTATGGATCACCGAGAGAGCGAACCCGTATTTCATCCTCCAGAAACGGAAGGGCCACGGGGATGGAGGCGGAGGACTGGCGGGTGAGTACCATGTTTTGTAAGCTGTTGTCATGACTCCGTAAGGGGGAAAAATCCAGTATTTCGTGTAAATTTGGGAAGAGAAAAAGGTCAGGTGATGGTCAGCTGCACTGTGACAGTGTGTCAGGCTTAACCGCAAGTCGATGCTGGACGGCAAAAAATAAATAAATAAAATGGAAGAGCACGTGACCAAGCAGCTGCCAGACGGCCTTTCACCTGGTCGCGTCTTCCAGGGAGAAAAGCTGAGTCTGCTGCTCTCACAGACCTCCTTCATGCCGGTGACAAACTGCGACCTAGGGCGCTGACATCACACAGAGGGAGAGGGAGGGGGGGCAAAGAGCAGATCCTTCAGTGTGTGGGATCTACTGTCTGCTTACACAACTTCCACCCACCGACCCACCCATATTGGAGGTCATAATATGGTTTAAAATGTCTCAGGGTGTTCCTGCCTGCAGTGGAAATTAGATTCCATCCATCACAACAACAACAACTATTGCAACTGTGGTTTCAGCTGTGCAGCTGCTAATGGCTGTGAAGCCTCAACAACAGTGAATCTGTTTGAGTCTGTTTGCTTGCTCATGCTGAATCATTCCCCCTGCTTCATTCTCTCACTCTTCCTCCTCCTCCCCCCTCCTAGCTTGTTCCATCCAAAATGGGTCAAGCAGGAGGCACAGGAGAGCGACAGGTTATGGTGATGGCAGGATATGTGTTTTTTATTTAACAGTTTAGAACTTAAAGAAGACTGTTTTACATAGTTTTCGTACATGAGGGATATTGTACTGTGTCTGTACTGTGTGTGGTGATTCTGTGATGAAATATTAGCATTCAAATTAGTTCAGGGGATGTGTTTCATATAGGAGCATCTTAAACAGCTGCTCAGACTCCTGGTGATCCAGAGCTGAAGAGAAAGTGATGCTTTTGTCAGTAATCGGTGTTCATCAGTTCTCACTCTCTGTCAGTCAGTGTCACCGCCCACTGAGCTCTAACACCTTGAACTGTGACAAGACTGAAATCTCTGAGGACCACTGTGACTGAGGAGTAGGTGAGGTGGGGGCCGGTTTCAACTGTTATACAGTAAAAGGCAGTGAGGTACATCCTGGTTAGGTCGATCCAGGATGTACAACGCGGATGTCTGACGCAGAATGACAGACAACCACAGATTTTCACATTCACACCTTCAGCCTTTGAACACAATTAACACGATAACTGTCCTGCACGAGCAGTTTAGCTGTAATGAGCGACACAGGAGTTGAATTCATACGTGCCTTCAGTGATGTCAGATAAACACTGTGCTCGGCTAATCAAGTTTTAGTTTCACCTCGGAGTGTAGTACGCTGAAATTTATTTGCTTCAAACACTGAGGGGCTGTGTAACGCAGAGGCTGCACAGATAATCAGTCCTGCTGATGACGCTCCCACAAAAGTAGTAAAAATGTAATTGTGTTACGGTCCAAGGTGAAACTAAAACTTAATTGCCTGGTTTTTCTCCTTTTCCTGCGTTGGCTGAGTGCATCTGAAGTCATTAGAGCCGCATGAACGTATAATATAATTGTCGTCCTTGGACAAATGATCGTCTTGTGAATTTAAAATGACAAATCCCACCGTACACGTCTTAATAGTGGCTCCGTTTAAAAATCTTTAGAGATTTTCACAACACAGCAAGATTTTGTGTTGCATAGATTTGCTGTAATTATCTGGTGGATCAATGTTACAGTGAATTTCCTGAATATGTAATACAGAAACCAGTTTTAGGCAGAATAAACGGACTTTAATTCATTTTTTAACACAGTCTAATAAATTAAATGCAAATAAAGAGATGCAAGTATTATAAGTATAATAGTATAATATCTGATCGCAGGCATATTTGTGTCATCTCGTCACCATTTCCCAGCCTTATTCCCATAAAGGAGGCCGGTAAACATTAGGGTTCTTCTCAATTCCAGAAAAAGACTAATATTACAAATTTAAACACTAATATTGGTAATATGACCTGCTATCATATTGATAATTAGACCCGCTGCCTTCTCTTCTCGGTCTCTAGTGTGTCCTTGCTGTGGCAACGCAGAGTGTGCTAAGTGGTGCTGGAAGATGATGTCATTTTTATGTAAAAGCTGAGCTTGCTGACTTGCATTGTGTGCCAGTTGGCACGCAGCACCCAGTGACACTGGTACTGCCCTCAGTCCTTTCAGGGGTAGGAGAAGCCATCAGCAGCACCGGACTCGAGCCTTTTACAGATCAGCATATTCATCTTGACCGAGCTGCAGCTCCCATGTCTCAGAGCTGGAGGGAGGTGGAAAATGGAAAATATGTGCTTGCTTTAGCTGCTTCAGAAAAACTTTGGGTTATGTGAGTCTATGGGTGTCAGCATCATAAAATATGAGGACCAACCCTGCACGAGCAGTTGCAGAACTTCTGCATTGTATGTAGAGAAACGGATAACTAACCCTTTTTGATAATATAAGGCTGGATACATCCAAAAGAAGAGGAAGATGTATCGACACAGTGAGAGCCACTTTCACATCAGTTTTTCTCTTTTTTTTTTTTTAAATATTTTTTTTATCAGCATTATAAAAGACCTCTCACTTCTTCACTGTAACCCCTCAAAGAGCCACTGAAGACTCAAGAAAAGCCTGTAGGATGAAAGATGTTAGCCGTGTGGGTGCTCATAAACGGGGTCTGTAGTGGTTAAGAATAGTAAGAATGCAAAAAGTACCACATTTATTGGCCTTCCTGTAATATTTGCTTTTTCCTCTACATGCTTATCACAACTGTGAAAATGAACCAGTTTAAGATATAAAGGTAGTCGGCTGGGCTACCAAATGAGCTGTAAAAGGCTGGGAATCTCAGATTTACAGTGTATAAGCTGTACTTGCAGCATATGAGCTAACAGCGCTGCACATATAATGCAGGCTGGGAGGAGTCTGCTCACTTCAGTGTTGAACTGTTGATGGTCACATGCTGTATAATCAGCCTTTACAGTAACAGGGTAGAATATGAAATTCAGAAAGGAAGGAAATTTAAAAATGCACAACAAAATGTGTTTTTATCAGATGTAAAAGCACTGAATATGCCTATTGTGAAACTCGTTACACAATTGTAGACAGTGGTGCTTTTAGCATAAAATGACACCAAGTACAACACACTATTTCACAACCTGATAATAAGTAAATGTTTGCCTGGTGCAAGTGTGTCGTGCCGGACAGATTCCCTTATCTTGTGCTTTAAGACGAGTCTTTGATGTGAGCAGGCAGAGAGATGTGGCGAGGGAAAAGCCGAAAAATGTGTCTAATATCTTAAATTGATGCAGTGAAACATTTCATGTCTTGGCTTTCTGTTATCTGAAACGGTATTGATTGTAATTCCGGGGAAGATTGTGGCCTTTTGTTTGCTTAATATAAAATCCCACACCAGCAGGGCCTCCGACTCTGCTCACCCAAGCAGAAAGAGGATGTAAACAATGGAGAAATGTATTTATACCAGTGCTGTCAGCTTGGTTTCCTGTTCTTCTGCTGAGTGAAATGCGTTAATGTTTCAGAGAATGTGGTTTGTTTCCCTCTAACAATGAGGATCTCTGATTGTGTCTAAGCGGAGAAGCACAAAACATCACATGATTTCAGTTCAGGGGACGATTGCTCTGAGTTTTCCAGCCACATGCTGGATGCTACACAGCTTCATGCTGGTTGCGCACCCACTGCTTCAGTCTGTGGAAGGAAATGTCAGCGTAAAGGCAGAGGTTTGATTTGGAACAAGCAGTAACATGAACTTTGGTTTGATGAGTTAATGCTGCCAGGGTGTGGTTTTTGGGGTTGCTTATCGTACACTTGATAAAAGATCTATCGCGATAAAGACGGTGAAATGACTGATCTCCTGTATACAGCGCCGCGGAAAGTCACAATATTCATTTCTGTATTTTTTTGCTTCCAAGGAGATAGACTTTCTCTTTTTTTCCTTCTTTTTTTAAAGGGCTCTTGAGCAACAGTTCTCCAGGCTGTTCATTGAGACACTGGCTCATTGTGAGCCCGGTCCTTCTACCTGATCATTTTTAGAGGATTTTTTTAAGCTACTTGTGAATTTTCAAGCACCAAAAAAAAGTAACCAACTCAAGACATGAATCAGTGTTATGTCTACACATAACAGACAACCTTTACTGTTGTAAAAGCACATCATTTGTTTTGTTGGATCAAAAAACTGGCTTATCTTGCTATGGCGTGCTTTTTAAACTTTTAAATTGAGAAGTCGAAAAAAGTGGAGAACAGAATAAGAAGTGGTAGGTCTAAAAAATAAATAAATAAATAAATAAAAAATCCACAACAAATGAACAGTGGCTGAACGTTATGTGCTTAAGAAATAATAGTCCAGAGCTGATCAATCAATCTGGCTGTCAAGAAGATCTTCATAAGACTGAAGAGTGAGGTATGCCACATTATACAAGATCTGGGCTGAAATCAGGAAAGAGGTACAACAATGAGTGTCTACAGCTATGGACTGGCCTACCCAGACCTCCACATGTGGGATCATCTTTACATCCAAAGACGAGCTTTGAATGTCCTTCAAGAAGCCTGGAGAACTGTTCCTGAAGACGGCTGTGTTGGCTGTGTTCAGGAGAGTTCAGGCTGTGTTGAGGAATAAAGGTGGTCATACCAATTATTGACTTTCGATCTCATTAGAGTTGTACAAATTCTTATACAGTTTTGTTTGTCGTATATACTGTATTTCCATGCCTATTTCATTAATTTGCTGCACCTGTATCCCACTTATGTAGCAAAATTGAAAGAAATGAGGCGTGGCTAAAGACTTTTGCACAGTATTGTATAAAAATTGGCAAAATGGGTCCAAAAATAGCTGAACAACTGTCTTTCCTGCTGTTTGCTTTGGGTTTCACTTTAAACTATATGAACCAAGATCAAGGTGGTCATAGAAGTTCAGTGGTCTCACCTGAGTTTCCTGCGTTAAACCTCAAAGCAGACGCCTCCTCCGGCTAAGCTATTCATACCATGCAACACAACTGAGTCTCTTTTTTTTTTTTTTTTTTTTTTCCTCCTCAGACTCCAGCAGTTCATACTTGGACACTGAATTTCTATCTATCACATCTATTTTTGAGGCAAATTACAAAATGCTGATTATTTAACACATTAAAGTCCTCTCTGAGGTGTGCATTTTTAACCTCGTCAACATTCTTGTGTCGAAGAGGAAGTTGTCTTCACACTCATAACAGTTTTGCTGTTTCTCTCAGCGGGGTAAACCAAAGTGTGGATTATCTCACTGGTTTCGTGGTGTATAGGACTCCAGTCACCTCTGGGTGGTTTACTGCTTTGTGCAGGCGCTTCTCAAGGTTCAAGATGTTGCAAGTATGAGTCAGTATTTTTGTTTATTTGTCTACGGCTGGAGTTCTCAGGAAACGGCTATTACGCATGATCTGTAACATTTGGCATAAGTGTAACTAAAGAAGTACACAGCAGATATCAGTCAGGTTAACCAGCTTTTTGATGAGGCTTCTTGATCTGTTCTGCTTTTGAGAGGTAAGAGGAACTGATAAGTAGGACTGTAAAAAGAAAGGCAGAGGCAGAATTTACATGAGTACAGAGATGAGAGAGCAGAGCGGTCAGTGAGTCTAATCCATGCAGATGTGCTTATTTTATTATTTCTCTCTCAAACTGCTTTTTCCCCCATGAAAATTCAGCTTCCTTCGTTTGTCTCGTTTCCCTCCTCCCTCTCTTGCTGTCTGTGTGACTCATACTGTGTGTGCCCTGATGAGCAGCAGAACAAAAATAACCTGTCTCTCATGGCACTTAATTTTTTTTATGCTTAATATAGTGCAAAAATCACAGCAATAGAAGTCTCAAGACACTTTGTGTTGGAAGACAAATACCCTAGAACTGATAGAAATCCAAAGACCCCCTATGAGTAAGGATTCTGCAATGCTGGGGGATATTTTTACCATTTTCATTTTAATGTAGGAGACTTCGAGCAGAAGCAGAGTCGGGGAGGCTGCCTGTCTCCGACATGGGTTGAGGGGCTGACTGCAGAAGAGAAAAGAAAGGCACAGAGAGACACCAAACAACAAACTTGGGGGGGGGAATCACGTCGTGCAAAAATTCATGTGTAGGTTAAAGAATAGAAAGGATGACAAGTGCTCAGTGCATCATGGGAATTCCCCAAGCAGCCTGAGCTTATAGCTGGGAAACTGAAGGACGATTCAGGGTCAGATGATCCAGCCTGAAGTATTAGTCTTATGAAAAAGAAAACTTTGAAGCTTAATCTTAAAAATAGAGAGGGTGTCTGTGGGACCTAAACTGGGAGCTGGTTCCACAGGAGAGGAGCCTGATGGCTGAAGGCTTCTGCCTCCTGTTCTACTTTTAGAGACTCGAGGAAGAAGAAGTAAGCCTGCAGTCTCAAGAACTGAAGTGCCCTGCTGGGATATCAGGAGTTTGTATGTGAGGAGAAGGATGTTAAATTTACTTCTGAATCCAACAGAGAACCAGCAAAGAGAACACAACAGTCCCTGTTAGGACTCGAGTTGCACCCATTTGGAACAACTGAAGGCTTTTCAGACATCCTGATACTAGGAAATTATAATAATCCAGCCTAGAAATAGTAGAAAACTAGCCCAGAAAGCCATCTTAATAAAAGAAAAGTCAGAAACAAAGCAGAAGGGAGCAGCATATCTTACCTTTTACACTTATGGTAAAATAAAGCAAGCAAACCTTGGCATCCCCACAGAGCGAATTCTGATAAAATCACCGGTGTTTTTTTCTAGTTTCTTTAAGATGCAAAGGCACATATAGAGGGTCTGCCTTTGTAAAGAACACTCAGAGGTCAAAAGGCAAATTTAATAGGAGAATAAACACCCTGCTGGTCAGTTGTTTTCTGCAATCTGGTAAACCTGATGGGTTCACACTAATGGGCTACAACTGACTTATAAATTATTAACTGACTTATTAACCACTATTAAGGCCATTAGTTCATAAATGCCTCGTGCAGAATGGCTCGTGTAGAACGTGTGATTATATGCAGTCATTTCTCACCCGGCACAATCATAACTGTCAGACCACACGTAAAGATCACGGGTGGGTATATGGTTGAAAAAGTGAAAGCGTTTAATGCAGAGCAGAAATGTTTTTAGCCACAGGATGTTTTTGTTGTACTCAAACCACAAGACCTCATGGTTTTCCCCTTTTGCTTAAGCATAACAGCATGGTATACAAATGTAAATACATGTTATTTGTGTATAGATGCACATGGTTGCACATTTTTAGCAGGACTTTTGTGTTGCCGCCTAACAGACTTCTTTCTGTAGTAAATGTCTTCTGGGCTCTTGCAGGTTTGCTTGTTGGGACCTTGGATGTTGTTCTGGACTCGAGCGCTCGGATGGCCCCGTACAGGATCCTCTACCAGACTCCTGACTCTTTAGTTTACTGGATCATTGCTCATGGTACGTGCAGAACAACTGAAAGAAAAGCAAACTTACAATTGAAAATGTATGTTGTGCACCAATTCTACACATTTTAGCATCACATATGTGGGCCACTCCACTACAGACCCATCTGCAATCCTACCACCAGCTTTCACGCAGCTCCTGATGGTTTACCTTGCTGCTGTCACCCATGTTAGCTGCTGAATGCAAGGTGTTACATTGTGCGCTGGTGGTTTTAAAGGATTACGGGCAACGGTGCAAGAATCTGTGGTTTTCAGCCAATTGCTTGATGTAGTTTCATTGTGATTCTCATCAGGTTCTCACAGTAGTCCAATCTGCTACTTACCACAGACTGTGGCAGTAAATAATGCCATTTAGCAGCAATGCACTTTTTAGAAGCAGAACTCTTCTTTGCACCAATATTAAACCAAGTATGTAAATATTCCCACTTTGGGCTAAATGCATAAGCACTTCTTAATAGAGCTGAACGACTTCTGAGACATTTCATTTTAATTTTGTGTTAATTGCATTATTGATTACAATTTCCTAAAGGTCTGGAAAACTGCTGATCATAACACACAGGCAGAAGTTGGAAGCAAGTCGCAAAGAACGCCACAGACAAAAGTGAAGCCACAACTTCAGCAACCCCAAAGCCTGCTTTAGGGACCTAATAAGCACAGAACTAGTGTTACATCCAGTAACTACTCTTTTCCAAGCAAACATTTTTATTATTATTCACACAAATTTCTAATCAGCCAATCACAGATCAGCTACTCAGTCCATTTAAGTATGTATTGAGTTTATGTCAAAATGACTTGCAGAAGTTCAAACAGACCATCAAAATCGAGCAGAAGTGGGATTTAGGTGACTCTGAACAAGGTTGGTTGTTGGTATCAACGGGCTGGTCGGAGTATTTTGACAGGCTACAATAACTCAAGTAACCACTTGTTACTTAGGATATGCAGAAGAGCATCTCTCGAACCTTGAAGCAGGTGGACTACAGCAGCAGAAGACCACACCAGTCTGGTCAGCTGAGAACAGGCAACCAAGGCTAAACCAGTTCACACAGACTGGAAAAATGTTGCCTGGTTTGGCAGCCTTTCTGTGGACATTTTATTTGTGTGTAGCGAGAGTGATATCAATTCTCCAAACTTCAGGGAGTTTAAAGAAATTAATCACATAGACAACTGCCGAGCAGGCTGCTCTGATAGCTGAGTTAATGTCACGCTTAATGAAGATGAGGCATGATTGGTAAACAGGCAAACGGATTTTGTTCTGAACACGTGTAACAGCGTATTTAATTAGGTCGTTATCTACCAAATACAAATGTGAGAGTACCATTTCTGCTCTCTATCTGAAATGGAGGCCTACAGAGGACTTGCTTGGCTCTGAAATGCCATTGGCTCCCCTCGCCTCTCCCTCTCCTCCCCTCCCAGTTCTTAATTCCTCCCCCCAGAGATGGCAGGCGAGTGGAGCAGCCTGGCAGACATGGCTAATGCAGTCAATGTGCACTCACTGAAGGGCTGTTTTGCAGCAGTGTTCAGGGATAATGGCCCACAGTAGCAGCCATTACTGCAATCCATTTCTCCCATGACCAGAAAGACCAGTTTTAATCTCACTGCTCAGTTCTAACTAAATTGCCATGATATCCTTTCTGTTTTTTGTTTGTTTGTTTTTGTTTGTTTTTAAAAAAAAAGAGCATGTAATTGTTTTCTTGACTTGCACCGATACCTCTGTCCTTATTTACCTGTCTTATTAACTGCAGTGCTCTGCTGAAGAGGTAAAATATCTACTGGGATGCTTTTAAACAAAATAGAAAAATATATTTTAAAAACAACAACCCTCTGTATCACTTTTGAAACATTACGCCTTCATATGAACTGTGATTGCTTTCACAGGAACCTCCCGCAAAGAGATCACAGAGCACTGGGAGTGGCTGGAACATAACCTGCTGCAGACTCTCTCCATCTTTGAGAATGAGAATGACATTACCACGTTTGTCAAAGGAAAGGTCCAGGTAATGACTCTGACTGTACAATCGTGACGTTAACTTGCATTCCTACTAACGGCCAGCAGGGGGCGACTCCTGGGATTGCAGAAAGTTTATGAGAAAACATCTATCTCCTATCACTTTACTAAACACTTTTAACTTTAAGAAAGCTTGTTGTAAAGCAAGTAGTGCAGATGAGTCCACAACAGCAATGTGGATGTGTGGGTTGTCTGCAAAAACCCAACAACCTTCAGAGGTTTTTGTTTAAATTGAGGTATTTGCAATACACCCTAAGCATTTCACCTCATGCCTGTTGTGCTGTCTCTCTTCATCATGCTGCAGGGTATCATAGCGGAGTACAACAAGAACCACGATGTCAAAGAAGACGATGACACAGACAAGTTCAAGGAGGCTAGCGCTAAGTTTCGTAAACTGTTTGGGATGCCCGAAGAGGAGAAGCTGGTCAACTATTACTCCTGCAGCTACTGGAAGGGGAAGGTGCCTCGGCAGGGATGGCTCTACCTCAGCATCAACCACCTCTGCTTCTATTCGTACTTGCTGGGGAAAGAAGGTTGGACATTACCCAATTATACTGTCTTCAGTAATGTCTTATTTTTTTCCTGTTTATCGAAAGGACCTCAACCTGCAGAGATCTGAACAAGTCTTTTCAAGATTATATCGTGAAACGCTGTTGTGCCTTAAGCCATTATATTTTTCTTATATTCTTTGAAGTTATAGCCTTTCACAAAGCTTAAACCATATATTTAGGGCTATTTTAGTCCACTGATATTAAAAGTATGTCCTGTTTTTTGGGGGGGCTTTTTTTTTTTCTTACTTTCAGTCAAAATGGTGGTGCGTTGGGCAGATATCACGCAGCTGGAGAAGAGCGCCACCCTTCTTCTGCCTGATGTGATCAAGGTGAGCACGCGTACCAACGAGCACCTCTTCTCCGTCTTCCTCAACATCAACGAGACTTTTAAGTTAGCGGAGCAGCTGGCCAACATCGCCATGCGGCAACTGCTCGACAACAAAGGCTTTGAGCAGGACCGCTCGCTGCCCAAGCTGAAGAAGAAATCACCCAAGAAGGTCTCAGCACTCAAGAGGTAGGTCCTGGTGCAGAGCATTACTGCTTCTTTGCTTTTAGAACCACTGAATATCTACAAGTTTCTGTTATCTTATGTGAGAAATTTGCATCTTTCAGAGATCTGGATGCGAGAGCTAAGAGCGAGCGCTACAGAGCGCTCTTCCGTCTGCCCAAAGATGAAAAACTGGACGGTCACACAGACTGCACCCTGTGGACTCCCTTTAACAAGATGCACATCCTGGGACAGATGTTTGTGTCCACCAACTACATCTGCTTCACCAGCAAGGAAGAGTCGCTGTGTAGCCTCATCATCCCCCTACGGGAGGTGAGTCATTCTGTTTATTAACAGCTTCAAAGAATAAAAATAAAAACAAGAAAAACAGCAGATCTTGAAAATCAGACCCACAACTTGAAGCTCAAATAAGCGGCTTGACAGTCGTTTATCTGACTGATATTGGTGTGTGTGTGTGTGGGGGGGGCTGTCACTTCCCATCTGCTCTTAAACACAGTGTGTACATAATGCAGCTGTCATGCTGAATCGCTGTCATCCATTTCGTTCACAGAGAGCTGTAGACTGTGGCGTTTTAACCATTTAGGAGTCATTTTCTGTATTCGTGTCTAGCTTCGTCACTAAGTTCTAGCTAGTTTCAAATGTCACAACCTCGCTTAGAGGATGTGAGGAGAGTGGAGAGTCCCAGGTATGTAACGCCAGCTATCCGCCACCTAAATGGATCCCTGAGATCAATCCCCAGGCACCTCAGCCCCGGCGCCGTTCCTCAATAGGTCACATCATGGGGTAAGGCGAGGTCTCACTGTGGTTTCATGCTTAACCCCCTGTGATGTATTTCTTAATTTGACTCATGTCATGACTCGCATGGTCAATAGTGGGACAGTGACCTCAGACGGTGTCCAAAGGGACATTCCCCACTCGAGGTAAAATACCTAGAAATCTCCCCTATTTGTTCCCCATCAGCCATAAAAAGCTGATGGTTTATTGTCATCACCCCACGGTGTGGTTGGGTGGGCGGCATGGACGCCCAAGTTTATGAATACGTTTTAAAGAAATACTCTGCTTTAATGTTTCCCTGTTTAATCAGTTATAATTATATCTGATGTCAGTCTTCACTGACAGAAGGTGGCTCTGTTACAGCCGTAGCTGATGAGACGTCTTTTCTGGATCTGTCTCATTGTGCAACTGGAATTTGATTCGGATCTGGCTTACTATGAAAACTGTATCTTTGGATGGATCTGATGGATTTTGATTGGTCAACATCATTTAATGACTGAATCTCAATCTGTAAACAAAGTTCAGCATGAAGTGTTGCATTTAAAAAAAAGTTACTTTAAACTGCATTTAATGCCATTTTGGAGACTTAAATACAATGCAGCCTCGTCAAATATTCAAATCATCTCCACAATCCAACTATTCCAGACATTTTTCCATCAGTGTGACTGTGACTCTCCATAGCTGCATACATGGAGAAATATGTGCAGCTAAACACATTGTTTGGTCTTTGTTGGTCTAAAATTTTACTCTCGGCATCCTGCAGGTGACCATCGTGGAAAAAGCAGACAGCTCCAGTGTGCTGCCCAGCCCGCTCTCCATCAGCACCAAGAATCGCATGACCTTTCTGTTTGCTAACCTGAAAGACCGAGACTTCCTGGTGCAGAGACTATCCGACTTCCTGCAGCAAACCACCTCTAAGACTTACCTGGAAAAAGAACTCACTAGCAGCCTGAACAGCTCAGATGATGAGGTAGGTAGTTTCATTCGGTCACTGTGACATCGTCCAGGTTAAAGCTTCAAAGGCTGAATAAGATTTATCTCCAGGTTTACTCCCAGCATGGATCCCTGCTGTCCAGCAGCCCTCAGCACAGTCTGGGCTCAGAAGGCGAGCGTAAATTTAACCTGAACGACAGCAGCGTGCCCACAGCCACACAAGCCCTCATGACCATGTATCGTCGCAATTCCCCGGAAGAGTTTAATCCGAAGCTGGTGAGATAAATTGCATTTTCTTTTTTTACATTATAATTAAACTGCACGGTGGATTGATGCTAGCTGCATGTAAATTTTTGTTGCTTTCCCAATCAGGCGAAGGAGTTTCTGAAAGAGCAGGCATGGAAGAACCACTTTACCGAGTACGGACAGGGGGTGTGTATGTACCGCACAGAGAAGACGAAGGAACTCGTTCTCAAGGGGATTCCCGAGAGTATGAGGGGAGAGCTCTGGCTGCTTTTCTCCGGTGAGGAAATGTTCAGGGTGGGCAAAATTAGAGCCCAACCGATATTAGGTACTTTAAAAATCTGACATATTGGTCGATAACATTTTTTTTTTCTTTTAGACCCTATAAATAAACTTGTATCATAAAAAATGTATTATATGTAGTTACTGGTGAGTGCTTCATATGATAATAAGACAAAGGAGTTTAAAAAAGTGGGGTTTTTTATGGTCACAAGTCAATGGATTATTCCTTTAGGCTGTGTTTGGATCAGCTGATTGTTGTTTTTGTGGCTTTCCAAACACCAGTTGCCAAGAGGAAGTTGCAGAGTGCCCTCTGGTGGTAAAACTGTGCGACAACAACACTCATAACAGTTGAAGGGTGTTTCTTCTGTCTGTTCTTCACTGTTTTAATTATCATTTATTGGCAGTTGTTGATACTGATACAATGTATCGGCAAATGGCTGATGTCAGTCTGGATCTAGCAACAAATAAATAAATGGCACACTGTACCTGAGAGGCCTCACATAAGATTTTAGCTTTAAACCTTTTTATGTTTTACAAACTTCTAAAATTTTAGCGTTTTTAGCTCTGATAAATTTGCTAAGCACTGTCTATTAATCTAGTTGATTTTGATGTGCACAGTGATAGTTTCTAAGAAAATAATCAGCCACACATTTAAATAAATGTACAAATTTTCTTTCTGGGATTAAAACTTTGGTCTGATTATCAGAGTAAATATGGTTTAGAGACCTTTTTTCCCCCTTTTGTTTCGTTTCTTTTTTGGGGGGGGGGGTCTGAAAATCAATCTCAGATCTCACTTGAATTTGTGTGGAAAAGCTTGTACATCATTTTGCAATGCTTCAGATTACACAAGGCTCCTAACTGTCACAACATGTTACGCGTTCAGGTATGCACTTGCTCCAGACTTTCCTGTTAGCAAGCTTGCGCTCATCCTTACCTGATTGGAGCCTGGTAAGCAGCAGCTCCTCCTCCTACTCTCTATGACCTACTTGTTGCTGCTGAAAGCAGTTTTCCTCACGGCAATCTATCCCGAGACGACAATTTACCGTGCTCCATTGAATCATTCAGCTGTTGCCAAAGTGTGTCTCATTTTAGAACAAATGGTTAAAAACCAGTTTGGCGAGGCTCTATTCTGGGGCAAATTCCAATAAGCGTGTTTAATGAAGTATGTGCACAGAGACATTACAGGTCCGTGAGGACTTTAATGTGTGTAATTGTGCTGCAAATTTATTCAGATGACTTGGAGGCCAATTGTAAACCTACAAATGGGTCTCTGAGCTACAGTATGTGCGTGCCAAATAAGAATAATTTGTATTACAGACAGTTTTTTTTTTTTTTTTTTGCTGTTCATTTACTCAAATCAGGTTTCAGATCAGAGCTATGATGATTACACAATCAGTTGAAATATATATGATAATGCTTGTACTACTATTTTTGTTTGTTTTATTTTTTAAATTATTCATTAATGCATTTGGTTGTTCAGCTGTTGTAATTCCATTTGTCTGGGATCGAGAGAGTACAGCTGTCATCACACGCCTAAAAGATGTATTCGATTATTTAAGTTTATAAGTAAATATATTAGATCACTTACCTCTTCATGTGCAATCAATGAATCAGAGATAGGTTTGGCATAGATTGGCTGCCCTACTGTGTTTTTCTTTAATTCTCGAATTTGTCTTTCACAGGAGCGATCAACGAGATGACCACCCACCCTGGATATTACGAAGACCTGGTGGAGAAATCGATGGGCAAATACAACCTGGCAACAGAGGAGATTGAGCGGGACCTGCACCGCTCTTTACCCGAGCACCCAGCCTTCCAGAACGAGATGGGCATCGCTGCCCTGCGCAGGGTCCTCACTGCCTACGCGTTCAGAAACCCCAACATCGGATACTGTCAGGTGCTCGCATGCTTGCTTTTTATTGGAGCGGCAGAAAAATCAGCAGTCCTTGACAATGCTTGATTTCTTCTTCTCTTCTTCGATTCCACAGGCCATGAATATTGTTACGTCGGTGTTGCTGCTTTACGCTAAAGAAGAGGAGGCTTTTTGGCTGCTAGTGGCGCTCTGTGAGAGGATGCTGCCTGACTACTACAATACCAGGGTTGTGGGTCAGTATATGGATGTCGTGTTCTCTCTATTTCACTTTTGTTTTCTGTGTATTTAGCATTATTTTCTTGTACAGGAGCTCTGGTCGATCAGGGTGTGTTCGAGGAGCTGGCCCGTGAGTACATTCCTCAGCTCTACGACTGCATGCAGGACCTTGGTGTCATCTCCACTATTTCGCTCTCCTGGTTCCTCACCCTCTTCCTGTCCGTCATGCCGTTCGAGAGCGCGGTGGTGGTGGTCGACTGTTTCTTCTATGATGGAATCAAAGTCATTTTTCAGCTGGCGCTCTCCGTGCTGCACGCCAACATCCACCAGCTGCTGGGCTGCAAGGACGATGGGGAGGCCATGACCGTACTGGGGAGGTAAGAAAAGACAAAGCACTTCCTTTTTATTCAGTGATTTTTTTCTCTAGTGTTTCTTCATCAGTAATACTTGTTAGATTCAGTATCTTTTACACACGTCAATCAGCCATGATTATCATTTTTGACACCGACTTTTTAAAACTTATCCATTGCAGGTATCTGGACAGTGTGACCAATAAGGACAGCACCCTCCCTCCCATCCCTCACTTGCACTCTTTACTCACAGACAATGGAGAACCACACCCAGAGGTGGACATCTTCAAACTCGTGCGCAGCTCCTACGAGGTAATAAACCTGGATCATGACGCGTGTTTCTAAGTTTGGTTTTGGTTATCTGAATTCACTCCAAAGATATGAACTTAGACTTTTATGGGATTTGTTTGGACTTTTACCTGATAAAATCCATTTTTTGCGATTCTGTTTTTGTTTTGCTGTGATAACATCGTTTTACCACAGCCAAGCTGACCTATTTCACTTTTTTTCCCTTTCTGTCAGAAATTTGGCTCCATTCGTGCCGACGTGATTGAACAGATGCGTTTCAAACAGAGACTGAGGGTCATCCAAACCATCGAGGATACAACTAAACGCAATGTGGTGAGGAGATCATCTTACAGAATCTGGAATTAAGTAAATGTGTTGAGAGGTTTTTAATTGTTTCTTTTGGGCAGAATGCCAGTAGAGTGATCTGATCGTCTGTCCTACATTTACGCTGAATTTCATTTTCTCTCTTCTATTTTTAATTTGGTTATATAATGTTTCAGGTCAGAACCATTGTAACAGAGACTGACTTCAGTATCGATGAGTTGGAGGAGCTCTACGTGCTCTTCAAGGTGAGTTAAAGACAAATCCAGTGACTATAGATTTAAGCTGTGCTTACAATTTGCTTATACCACAGGTCTGTGTAGTAGAGGTGGGCCGATCGCTGCAAATATCAGTAACATTGATACTAATACTGGTATTGGATTGATACTAGTGCAATAGGATCAATACTTTGTTTCTCTCCAAGTTCAGTATGTAGTCCACTGAATTGTGTTAAATACATTAATCTTTAGAGGGGGTGGTGAAAAAATACACCTCAAACATGCACTATGAAAAATGTCTCAAGCTTTTTTTGACGACTGTCACGTCCATTGTATTTGTAGCCTGTAGCACTGGCTACAGTTGACCCAATGAGCTTTAGAGACAGATACATTTACACTTAAAGTCTCCGATAAACTCAGGTTCAAAATACATGAGGTGGTATAAGATGTGTGGTTTTTTTTTTTGGGGGGGGGGGGGTTTATTAACTAATTATCGTTTCATTTTTAACTCCTCTTCATAATTTCTTTAGGCGGAGCACCTAACCAGCTGTTACTGGGGCGGCAGCAGCAACCCCACAGAGCGCCATGACCCCAGCCTGCCGTACCTGGAGCAGTACCGCATCGACGTGGAGCAGTTTAAGGGTCTCTTCAACCTGCTGTTCCCTTGGGCCAATGGAGCCCATTCGGAGCCCCTGGCTGTACGCTTCTTCCGTCTTCTTGACCAAAACGCAGATGCCCTCATCAACTTTAGAGAGTTTATCACCGGTTTGGGTAGGTACAGTAAGCTTTTAATCAATTCTTATTTTTCTCAATATTATCTCTATACAGTTAACAGCTTATAACATGACTGATGATGTTCAGCTAGCAAATTGTTTTTGTAATTTGGAGGTAGTTGGAGGTGTAATGTGGCAGATCGCTAAAGCTTTTGGTTGTTTGTAGGTGTTCTGTGTCACGGGGACCTCACTGAGAAGCTAAAGCTGCTCTACAAGATGCATGTCCTCCCTGGTGAGTGTGTTTGGATTCATTGTGGTGACCTTAGAAGGTCTAAAAATGATTTCACACTAGCTGTACAGAAAATGGGAAAGAGAAATGGTTATGCTTCTTGATTTATGTGTTTTGTTTTGTTTTTTTCTCTCCATTCACTGTGGAAATTGCTTTTTTTTTTTTTTAAAGGGCCCGCTTTAAGAAACCCCCTGTTGATATAAATTATACCCTGAAAGCTTTTAGCTGAATGCACCCTTATTTCTGGATTTTCATAACATTTTGTCATAGAAACCAAAGGTCCATTATTTGCGCATTTAACTAGTCTGGAGCAGTTGTTTTAAGCTTTTATTGTCCGATCCCACATGTTGAGGATATCAAGTTGAATTCTAAATCCTAACTTCTTTAACAGAAATGACTCATGAACAGGAAGAACCCGACTCTGCATTTGAAGCCACTCAGTACTTCTTTGAAGACATCACTCCGGAAACATCCGTCGGTGAGGTTTCGTTCTTTTCGTTGGGATTTAGATTTGTTTTGTTTTTGCGTGAGGAATTATGCTACATAATGATGATAACTTGGCGTGGTTCTCATGATATTTGCACGAGTGAAACTTCTGTTGTGGTTATGCTTAGTCACGTGATCCTCACATCATGTGATTTGCAAGTGATAGTGTGGTTGTTTTTTCTTTGGCACCACAGGCTTTGGATGCACGTTGTGCACACTGACCGTTATGAAGGAACAGCAACACAAATGAAAGTTTACACGTGTGTTTCAGCAGGTGGAGCATCCATCAAGTTGCCCCAGTTACAATCTATTAGATCAAAAGCTGTTGGGCGTAGGAAAAAACTGCTGTATAAATGCATGTGAATGAGGCTTGTAGTAAGAAAGCACAACAAGCTCAAATAGAGTAGAAAAGCGCTAAATAAGAACTATACAACTGCGTGAGTGAGTGAGTGAAGGTCCACAGCATGATGCTGTTTTTGAATATGTTGAGCATGAGTCTCCTAGCTATTATGAAGTTTAGAGAAGTACACAGGCGCAGATCAAATCCGTGGTCAAATGACTTGGTGGTAACTTTCTAGTGTGTATACTTGTCTGCAGTCTTGTGAAAAAGAGTTTCCATCGGCCTCTAGGCAGTTCTGTAAAATAAGAAGTTTTGTTAATGCAGTGCCGTAGAAAAAGGCTGAAAAGTGTAGCTTGTCTGGAAGGGTTACCAGGAGAAAGCCTCTTTATCTCTAAACAGAATATGACACAATGACTTAGGTTTGCAAAGGTCGATCTGAACAAACTGCAAGAGTCCTGGAACAAAGTCCTTTGATACCATGTTTAACGAAAGCCAATCAGATCATATGAGCAAAAACACTTCATACAAACTGCCAAGCACGGTGGTGGAAAACTGATGATCTCAGTTTGTTTAGCAGCAGCAGGACCATAGCACCTTGTAGTATGTAGTATTGTAGACCCAAATGTGAGGCTGTCTGTGTGACAGCCAAAGCTTGTCTGAAATTAAGTCATGCAACAGCACAATAACCCCCAAGCACAGCAGAAAATCTACAACAGACTGACTGAAAAAGAAAAGAATCAAGGAGTCACAATGGCTCAGTCAAACTCTGGACTACAAATGCTGCTGCATGCTTTAAAATATAAATAAATTAGAATTTGTAATCAGACAACTGTTTGACCTCAACCTTCCTCTTTCTTCTCAGGCCATGACTCAAAGTGCAGAAATGAGAAGGATGATGGTTTTGTCAGAGTGACATTCAAAACTGAGAAAGGTAAATAACATGGTCACATGTATATAGGTCTGAATGTGTTATTCATGCTTTTCTTCCATGACCACATTGAAATGACTCTTAGATTTTCTTTAAAAAAAAAAGTATGATTTAAGCTGGTGAACGATCACATTCTTTGTCCATTTCTGCAGTGAAGAAACTGAACACTCCTGATTACCGCCATTACCTGAAACTGTGGAACCAGGAGATGAGACCTAAACGGGAAAACACAAAAGACCTGCCGAAACTGAACCAGGTGAGACTTCATTTGCTGCACAGATTACTCAGCAGCGTGAAGACACAGCCATCAGTGACCTGTTTTTAATGTTTCTGTCCTGCAGAGCCAGTTCATCGAGCTTTGCAAGACCCTTTACAGCATGTTCAGTGAAGATGTGGCAGAGCAAGAGCTCTATCACGCTACAGCAACGGTCACCAGTCTGCTGCTGGAAATGGGAGAGGTGGGAAAGCTCTTCTCCTCCTCTTTCAGAAAGGACCACAACCAGGAGGGGAACTCGGAGCCGAGCGTGTGCATGAGAGACGTTTTAGATCCTAAAGGCACCCAGGAGGTCCAGGAGCTTGGGGACATTTTTGTCCCTGCAGGTCTTGAGAATAAGCCGAGCCCCTGTGAGGAGGGAAAGGGGGATGAAGACAGCGAGCAGCTGCCCCCTATGCAAGACATCAAGCTTGAGGACTCGTCCCCTAAAGACACGGCCACTTCCTCGGCTATGCTCATCTCAGACGACGAAACCAAAGATGACACTTCAATGTCATCTTACTCGGTGCTCAGCGCGGGCTCTCACGAGATGGACGAGAAGCTGCAGTGCGAGGACATCGCGGACGACACAGTGCTGGTGCGCAGCGACGGCGGCTCCAACGGCGAGAGAAGCAACCGGCCTCTCGGCGGGGGGCCTCACGACAGAGGCCTGCCTCACAGCACGAGCATCGACAAAGACTGGGCCATCACGTTCGAGCAGTTCCTGGCTTCCGTCCTCACCGAGCAGGCTCTCGTGCGGTACTTTGAGAAGCCAGTGGACGTGGCCGCTCGCATAACCAACGCCAAGAATGCCAAGAAAGTCGGGCGCCCCCTGTTGTCAACAAGTGACTATGAGATCTCGCTGTCTGGGTGAGGAGTTATCACTAAAGAACTGTCCTAAAAGGAAAACAAGAGTATAAATCAGTGGTGTTTTGTAAGGAGAATGAAGGTAAGCGTGTGTGTGTGTGTGTGTGTGTGTGTGTGTGTGTGTGTGTGTGTGTGTGAGTAATAGCTGAATGAATGGGACCAAAACTTCTCTTAGCAATGTATTTTAAAATAAATTAAAGACTTTTACAACAATCACTAGACTCTGTCCAGCTGAGAAGGAACAGAACATGCATATTACGGTTCGCTCAGATGAAATCCACGTGTACGTCGTAGCTGTACTTTATAAAATATCACGCATAGGTGTTAATACTGTAATCTCTATTACTCTTAGGCTATGTAGATGTAAATGTCAGTACAGTTCCAAACTGGGACATCAATAGTCTGCAGTGCGTATGATCACCTAATGTTATATCCGATCAAACTTGTTGCTTCCTTACTTTACGAATTCCATTGGCTGCTAATGAAAACATTTCTTTGTTTCTCAGTGGATGAAAATGTGAAAAACACAAAAGAAAACCCATGAAAATTCATAAGAGTGATTTTCTTTCCTGGGTTTCCATGTAAACTCTTTTCAGCACCTCTATAAATTTAACACAGTGTGTCACTTTGGCAAATTTCGTATGCATATTTGTATTTTCTGTGATGTTAACTTTCAAAATACGGTCCTTTTAAAAGCCCCGGTTCATTTTATCCAGTTATAATAACTAGTAGGAACCAACCTGTATAATTAAACTAATAAAAATAATGATGGGGAAAGGAGAAAAATGATCCACATAAACAGTTTTTCTTTCTTTCTTTTTTTTTTCTTTTTTAATTAAGAAGACATCCAGTCATGCCTCGTTACTACAGACAAAAGTGTTGGTCGATGGTTCAGGAAATCAAAAAAAGTTGTGTGTTCAAGGAAAATGATTAGTACACTAAAATGCCGTTAAGAGCCTGCACACTCTTTATGTTTACAGCAAAATCCACTAAGATATGTTTCCTTGCCTTCAGGCTAGCTGTTTTGTTTTTGCTTTTTTAAAACTTTTTTTATCTTTATGCTCTGTACATTTTTACATTGCTTTTTTTTTTTTTAAATTAAAGTTGTTTTTTGTGAATACTTTCAATTGTAAACGCCCAGTGTTTAATTTATTACTCTGGGTTCTGATGCATTGTATATCACTCCATCCTATTAAAGTTACAGTTTGAATGGTTCAATGCTGCACAGTAAAATGCCTCCAGTCTTCTTTCTTCTTCTTTCACTGACCTCATATTGCTGAGCGCCTACAGTCTGAAAACAAGGAGTGATACTGCCATCTGGTGGAAGATTGGTTAACATGCTGATCTCCATTAATCCATCCTGAACACCAACTGCATCGTCAAAGGGCTGGTCATACACTCGCTGAACACTTTATTAGGTATCCTAGTACCGGTTTAGATCCCCTTTGGTCTTTAGAGCTGCCTCAGTTCTTCATGATAGAGATTCAAGAATGTGCTGGAAACATTCCTCACAGATCTTGGTCCATGTTGAGATGATGGCATCACACAGCTGATCCATGATCTGAGTCTTTTGTTCCACCTAATCCCAAAGTTGCTCTGCTGAACTGAACTTTGGTGACTGTGAAGCACAGTAAAGTCTGGCATTTCTGACCAGAGAACTGCTGCTCGCTGAATATTTTCTTTTCTTTCTTTTTTTTTTTTATCTGCAAAAATTAGGCTGTGTGGGGAAAATCGCTGTAGTCCAGCAGTTCCTGAAATACTGTTGGTAACAGATTACTGTACTACTCTGTGCAGCTGGATTGTTCAGTGTTTTTGATTGTCTGTGGTGAAAGAGTACATGAATGTGTACTCTTTTACTCAGTTACAGTTCGTCTCTTTCTCCCTCCTGGACCGCACACTGTGGGGCTGTGGCCTAGGTTAACCAATCACAGCTCACCGAGCTCATTTACAGCAGGACTTTCTGCTGATTGTGAGGATTGTCTCTTCTCAGACAAATGATAGAGCTATAAATAATTAATCTATTAGAATTTGTTTTCTTCAGGCTCTTCAAATACATTTTAATTGTATTTTCTTACACTCCCTCTAATGTTCACCATCATAAGTGTATGTATACACATGTTCGGGCATTTCAGCTGTGCTTTATAATTATCTTATATAGGGAGGAACAGAAAAGGCTTGAGTTTCTCCATTCAGTTCTATTTATCTAACTCGACCCAACATTTTTTAATCTGCAGTGTTTATTATTAGTGTACGTTTTACATTGCCATTACTTTTTGCAATTTCATGCCTTTTCATGCCACGGTTAGCACTGTTGCCTCACAGCAGTAAGTTCCTGGGGCTTCTCTGTGTGGAGATGTTCTGTGGGTTCTCTGTTTTCCCCTCACAGACATGTGTGGGGTTAAGCTCACCAGGGATTGTAACTTCACTGAATTGCTATCAGTCTGTGATAGCCCTGTGTCACACTGTCCAGGGCAGGGGTGGGCAATTCCAGGCCCCGAGGGCCAGTGTCCTGCAGGTTTTAGATCTCACCTTGGGTCAACACACCTGAATCACATGGTTAGTTCGTTAGCAGGCCTCTGGAGAACTGCAGGAGCTAATTTAGCCATTTAAATCAGCTGTATTGGTTCAAGGACACATCTTTTTGGACAAAACCTACAGGGACACCGGCCCTCGAGGCCTGGAGTTGCCCACCCCTGGTCCAGGGTATACCTTGCATCTTGCCCTGAGTATCCTGTGTTAGGCTCCAGTCCCTCCTGTAATGATGAAATGCAGATATAAGCTCTCTAAATATAGAGATATATCTGTAAGCTCTCTGAACCTCACCGTTTAAACAAAAACGGGCTGAATTGAACTGGAAATACTCGGTGTAACTATAAGTATTGCAGTTTAATACAACACTGCAATGAATCGTTGTTTAGCATTTAATGAAGGTTGTTAAGCTTTAGTTGAAACAGTTTTTCAGGGGTATTTATTCAGTCTTGTAGAGGGTAGTTTGTGGTGTGCTCAAACCAATATGCAGAAAAAATGTTTAAAAACTAAAAATAATTTAATGACAAAAGAGATCTGATGATAGTAAACTTAATGGCGATAGTTTTAACATAGGGCTGTCGAATGGGACAGCATTAGTAAACGTTATGTGGGAATAATTCTCAATGTTTTTCTTGTCTTTGCTCTTTTTCTAAGAATCTACATTTTCCATACTGTTACGTACATACACCATGTGTGATGTAATGAACAGGAGCAACTGCTGGCAAACTGCTGAGAGGCCAAACATGGTGTGATGTAAAGTTCTTATCAGCTTCACTGTGAACTTCAGTCGCCAGCTGACGTCACCACACTCCCACTTCTGCCCCCCGGCCCAAAAAAGCACATCTTTAACATGAAATGTAAAAGCTGTTAGACTGAGACAGATAATAGAAATCATAAATGAGGGGTAACAGAGCAAAAACTGTATGACGCAACAATGCTGCTGATAGCACAGAGGGGTAATTTGCTGTGAGGCTCGACCATAAAGTCTGTGGAACAGATCTTGATTTAGCCGGTCAGCTCCGAACGCTCTTGATCACAAGCTTTTTGCTGTCATTGGCTGAGAGGGGAGACGAGCCTCTGGTGAACCCTGATACCGATCTGTTATCGCTGCTGCTTGTGGCACACAGTTCATCTGAACAGTTAAATAATTCTTGAGACAATATTAAAGTCTGTTACAGATCCTGGATAGAAGAAAAATCCGCTGATAAACAAATTCTACCAAGTGAAATGAAAGAAAATGCACACTCCACAGGCTATATTTGAAAGCATGAACATAACGTTTAGAAAGATCGTCATCAGTTAATGACACCTGTGGAAATTTGGATAGAAATAATCGTCAGTTTCACACACCCAAAAAACGGGGACGTTATATGGTTGTTTTTCTGTGTGAGGTGACTTGAACATTGACTTTCTGACAGTCTGTGGACTTTGAGTTGACCCAGGTGTACAGGAGTACACAGTAACGCCTCTCCGAGGATGTCATAAAAACGCCAGCCAGAAAACATAAAACCACAGCAAATGATGAGTCTTTCCTTCCTGCTGAGTGGGGCCCGGTGTGGATTTTAATCTGACCAATCGCATCCTGCTCGGTACCAAAAAACCCACCCGAGGATCAAAAGGAAATTTTAATTTCAGACCACAATCGTAAGTGTGTTTCATGTCTTGAGCATCAGTCCACTTTGATTATTGATTAACCTTTCATTTAAACAGACAAATGATTTGTACAAGAGGTTAATGTTTATGTGGTTGCTTTCTAGAAGAGAATCTTACACTGATTTTTTTTTTTTCTGTGTTTTAATTGGTATTTCTGTGCGTGGATGCGTACCTGTCGTCCCAGCAGTAGGAAACATGGTAGGACTTAAACCCTCAGACGTTCCTCCTCCTTTGGGTGTGAAGATGGCGAGTGCTGGAGCAGCAGCCTGTATAGCCGACATGGTCACATTCCCTCTGGACACAGCCAAAGTCAGACTACAGGTACTAACTGTGCTATCAATATGATCTTTAGCCGGTCTTGCTTTGCTGTAGCCTACTGTGGGACACAGCGTGATGTTTGCCTCATTGACGAAGAAGTCAACTTTGTCCACTTCAGCACCCTTCAGTCAAACTGAACCCTTTGGTCTTAAGCTTTCTGCTGCTGCTCTGTAAAGCTGGTTTTAACTTTGAGGACAATGTGTGACCCCAGATTCAAGGAGAGAAGAAGGCAGTGGGGGACATCCGCTACAGAGGGGTGTTTGGGACCATCAGCACCATGATCCGAACAGAAGGGCCCAAGTCTCTGTATAATGGTCTGGTGGCTGGGCTGCAGAGACAGCTGTGCTTTGCCTCCGTCAGAATCGGCCTCTATGACAACGTTAAAAATTTCTACACCGGTGGCAAAGACAGTAAGTTGTTGCCTTTTCATTTATTTTTTGGTTAAGTTAAACCTTCATAATTGTTCTTACTGGTGACAGTCGTGATTTCGAGATTTAATATCCAGCTGTCAAAAATCAAAAAGATGTTTATCAGATAGATGCAGTCGGCCTTATATTCCCTTAGATAAGGAATTCAGATGAAGGAAAGCTTCATTTTAAAAATAAAAAAGTGGGGAGAGTGAAGGAAGGCTATGTCTTGCAGACAAACATGCAATAGATAATTTACGCAGAACAGAGGCTTTTCAAATCTGATAAGTTAAACAAGATTTAGGAAAAGTGTTATCTCTCTCTTGAAAGCGATAAAGGATTCTCACAGTCTGGGTTGTTGAATCCGTTTCTTATCTTCATTGTTAAAACTGATACTAAAATTAGAAGTTCTCAAGCCTGTTATTAAAATAACTGAGTCTTTCCTTCTCTCCAGACCCTAGTGTACTGGTACGTATCCTGGCTGGCTGCACCACAGGTGCCATGGCGGTGTCCTTTGCGCAGCCCACCGACGTGGTCAAGGTTCGATTCCAAGCCCAGATGAATCTGGACGGAGTGGCCCGCCGCTACAGCAGCACCATGCAGGCTTACAGACACATCTTCCAACACGAGGGCCTGCGTGGGCTCTGGAAAGGTACATTCTTTGAGTGTTGCCCATTATTTAAAAAAGACAAACCATAACATCCTTTATCAGTAATGATTAAAGTATCCGTTTCCCTCAGGAACATTACCCAACATCACAAGAAACGCCCTGGTAAACTGCACAGAGCTGGTTACATACGACCTGATAAAGGAGGCCATCCTTAGACACAAGCTGTTGTCAGGTGAGGTCAGCTCACGGTTGTTTGCCTGAGCTACACAAACCCACACACACACATTCACAAAAACAGAGTCCCCGGGAGACTGCTGATTGGGCAAAAAATCCACACACCCTCTCACCTCTTTAACTGATACCAGCACAACAGGCTCCTACAGTACAGGACACAGTGTATTTTCTCTTTATGGTGCAGTGAGTACAATAGCAATATATTAGCATTTATCTCTAGAACTTATATTGCCCCATTCAGACGATTGCAAAATCCACTGACATGTTTTTCTGTGTCGCACAGCTGAGAACAAAGACTGTATTGTAATCTTTTCCCCAACTCTGTCCTCAGACAATCTGCCGTGCCACTTTGTGTCTGCGTTTGGCGCCGGCTTCGTTACCACAGTGATCGCCTCCCCGGTAGACGTGGTAAAGACGAGATACATGAACTCACCACCGGGCCAGTATAAGAGCGCCATTAACTGTGCCTGGACCATGTTAAC